TTTGATGTTTGGCTGGTGGGAAAATGTGGGTTGCTAATTAAAAGTCGCCTTGAATCTAATAATCTAGGGTGTGGGAATTTCCGGTAATATTTTTTCTTGGGAACCAAACAGTAGAAAATATCTTATTCTATTTTCTTCTTTTCCAAAATTTTAATTAATTAATTTTTTTTTGGCAGAGATTGAGAACCCAGCTCGCGCCTGGGTTCGTTGCCAACCCAGTCTCGCGAGCTTGGTTCATCTTGGGTTCACGAAGAAGATGAGGATAGAAATAGGAAATGAAAAGATAAAGGGAAACAATGATTTTTTTCTTTTAATTATTTTAAGACCTATTTTTTTTTTTTATCAACAAAATAATAGAGATTTGATTATATAGAGTACAATGGGTACTTCAACCCAAGTACAAACAATTAAATTAATCTAACTAAAACAAAGACATCCCAATAAACATGTAATCCAACACATTGCAGTCACTCTACTCATCCGGCTGTCCGTTTTTGTGTTTATGGAACACTTTCAGCAAGCTTCTATGTTTCCTTATGGCTGCAGCACATTCCCGTGGATTAAATTTTAAGACCTATTGATTACATGGAAAAAAAATTTGATTGCCAACTCATCAATTTTGCCACGTGTAATCTTATGTCACCATTAAAAAGAAAAAAAAAAAGACATTTAACGGATAATTGTGTCATGCTGTCACTTAACTGACAGAAAGATTAAAAAAGGATCGGATTTCAAACAGTAAGGATCAAAAAAGGGATTTTTTTGGTGTAGGGATTAAAAAAGAGTTTTTTCCTATAGTAGAGGGATCAAAAAGGGTATTTAACCTATTATTTATGAATGATATGTTTAAATTTTTATTGAAGGAAAAATTTAAAAATTATTTTTAAAAATAAAAAAAGTGAATAAAAAAAGTTTATGAAAAATAAAAGTTCAAAATTTTTGAATTTTTATTATTTTTGGGTCTTTTTAATGTTAAAAAAAATTTTAAAATATAAATTTTCAAAAAAAAAATTTTAACTTATAAAGTATGAATATCGTTAAACAGTTGAAACTCTAAGAAGTTAACCCAAATATATTCTAGTTCGGCAAAGGGAGAGAAGAGGGGTAAAAAATAAAAAATACAATTTTATCTCCCCTAATTCCATGGGGAGGTGAAATACATTTTACGTAATTTAGGTGAGACAGAATAAAATATAGTGCCACTTTACCCACTTTTTATATAGTTTACTTGGTAATTTTATAGGTTAAATACCCTTTTTGGTCCCTCTACTATAGGAAAAAGCCCTTTTTTAGTCCCTGTACCGAAAAAATCCCCTTTTTGGTCCTTACTGTTCACAAATCCGGCCCCTT